GAATGTGCTTTAACTTCTTGCCTGATTGCCTATCAATCAAAGCGTGAAATTATTTAAATTTTTCCAATACTTGGTCCTTTCTCTATAATGCTTAGACCCAAAGGTTCTTGGAGAAATCATCAATAAAAGTAACAAAGTAAAGTGCACCACTAAAAGACTTTACCTTCTTGAAGTATTCTGTGTCTTCCTTCTCATCTCCTCATTAAGTGCACCACCCTTTGTCATTTGCAAAGAAATACCACCATTAGGGGTAGTAGTTATCATGAAAACTCGAAATGTCTCGCACGAATTTGGTAAAAAGTTTAATAGGAATAGTCCTAATAGATTATCATTTTATACCCACTCCTGCTAATTAATCATAACGTCCTTGAAATTCACTCAAGTAATTTGAAATAGGAGCTCCTTCCTTATACTTTAACTCCACAAAATTTTTCAACAAGTACAATTTATTAGTCCCTAGCTTAGAAGCATACAAGGACTGAAGATTATCCCATAGGCTGGATATGATAACCACTTTGGTTCTGAAAAGTGGAAACTCACCAAAGGTAACTTGATTATGGCTAAAAGGGAGAAAAACTCCAAGCTTTACTGAACAAAAGCTTTGGTTGCTAAAGATTATGGCTAATGTGAATGCCGTGTATATGGAGTCATCTTTGTGGCACAAAAGGCTTGGGCATATCAATGAAAATGGACTGAACTGCTTAGATAAAAAGAATGTTCTCTCAGGATTAAAGAGTGTAGAGTTGGATAAATGTTCTCACTGCATGGTTGGTAAACAAACAAGAGTATCCTTCAAGAAGCATCCTCCCTCCAGGAAGTCAGAGGGAGGGAGTTTAGTGGTGCATTGAAGGTAAAGTCTTTTAGTGGTGCACTTTACTTTGTTACTTTTATTGATGATTGTTCCAGGAAGCTTTGAGTTTATTCACTACAGAGAAAGGATCAAATGTTGGACAAGTTTAAAGAAATCCATGCTTTGGTTGAGAGGTAGTCAAACAAGAAGCTGAAGCGCATTCGTATTGACAATGGTGGTGAATATTGTGGACCATTTGATGCTTATTGTAGACAATATGGTATTGCACATGAGAAGACTCCTCCCAAACTCTTCAGCTGAATGGTTTAGCAAAGAGGATGAACAAGACATTGATTGGAGAGTTAAGTGTATGCTTTCTGAAGAAAAATTGCCTAAGCATTTCTAGGGTGAGGCATTGCTTATAGTACTGCATATTATTAATATAAGTCCTGCAGTTGCTTTGAACTCTAAGGTGCCAGAAAAGATTTGGTTTGGCAAGAATGTTACTTATGATCATTTACGTGTCTTCGGTTGTAAAACATTTGTTCATATTCCAAAGGATGAAAGATCCAAGTTGGATGTGAAGACAAGGCAATTCATCTTCATTGGTTTTGGCCAGGATGAATTTGGCTACAGGTTGTATGACCCCTTTGAAAAGAAAGTTGTTAGAAGCCGTGATGTGTAATTCATGGAAGATCAAACCATTGAAGATATTGATAAGGTGGAGAAGTCTACACTTAAGGAAGATGATAATGTGGCTGATGTGGATCCAATTTGGTTTTTTTATTAATGATTTGAATATTGATGTTCATGGTGATACTGATAATCAATAGGTTGGAGATGACTTGAATGTTCCTATTGATAATGTTGATGAAGAGAAACATGATGTGTGACAAGATGAGAGTCTTGGTGATGTACTTGAGCTACCTGAAGCTCAACCCAGAAGATCTGACAAGCCAAAACAACCTTCTAAGAAGTACTCTACCAATGAGTATGTGATGTTGACTGATGAGGGAGAACCTTAATGTTATGAGGAGGCCATTGAAAGTGAAGAAAAGCAAAAGTGGTTGGATGCAATGTAGGATGAGATGAAATCTCTGCATGATAATCCACTTATGACTTGATGAAGTTGCCTAAGGGTAAGAGAGCCTTAGAGAATAGGTGAATTTTCAGGGTGAAGCAAGAAAGCAATTCTACATCTACTAGATATAAAGCCAGATTAGTGGTGAAAGGCTCCAGACAAAGAAAGGGTATTGACATCAATGAGATTTTCTCGCCTGTGTGAGGATGACATCCATCAGAATTGTGTTAAGTTTAGCTGCTACTCTAGATTTGGAGGTAGAGCAGATGGATGTGAAAACAACTTTCCTTCATGGTGATTTGGAGGAAGAGATTTACATGAAGCAAGCAGATGATTTTCTTGTTGAAGGTAAGGAAGACTATGTGTGTAGGCTACGAAAAAGCGTATATGGTTTGAAGCAGGCTCTAAGGTAGTGGAATAAGAAGTTTGAGTCTGTTATGTGTGAGCAAGGCTACAAGAAGATTACTACTGACCATTGTGTTTTTGTTAGGAAATTTTCTGAGAATGATTTCATTATACTCTTGTTATATGTTGATGACATGCTTATTGTTGGGAAAGATGATCCAAAATTGTCAGGTTGAAGAAGCAACTGGGCAAGTCATTTGCCATGAAAGACATGAGAGCTACTAAGAAGAATCTTGGTATAAGTATCACTCGTGATAGAAAAGAGAAGAAACTTTGGCTATCACAGGAGCACTACATTTAAAAGGTGTTGCAAAGATTCCAAATGGAAAATGCTAAAGTTGTAAGTATTCCTATTGCTACTCATTTTAAGTTGAGTGTTAAACAAAATCCTTCAAATGAAGCTGAGAAAATAGATATGAGCAAAGTTCCTTATGCTTCTACGGTGGGTAGTTTGATGTATGTAATGGTATGTACAAGGCCTGATATTGCACATGTTGTTGGTACAATTAGTAGATTTCTGTCAAATCCAAGTAGAGAGCATTGGAATGCTGTGAAATAGATTTTGAGGTATCTTTGTGGTACTAGTGGTTTGAGGCTTTGTTTTGGAGGTGATAAGCCTACTTTGGTGGTTACTCAGATTCAGATACGGCTGGAGACATTGATTCCAGAAAGTCCACTTCAGGCTATTTGATTGAGTTTGCAGGGGGAGCCTTGGCTTGGCAATCAAAGTTGCAAAAGTGTGTAGCGTTGTCTACCATTGAGGCATAATTCATTGCACTTAGTAAAGCATGTAAGGAGTTGTTATGGGTGAAGAAATTCTTGCAGGAGCTTGGTTTTGTGCAAGGTAAATATTTATTGTATTGTGACAATCAAAGTGCTATTCATCTTAGTAAGAATCTAACTTTTCATTCTAAATTCAAACATATTGATGTGAGGTATCATTGGATACATGATCTTTTGGATGCTAAGTTGTTGGAATTAGCTAAAGTTCATACAGATGATAATGGTGCTAATATGATGACCAAGGCATTGCCAAGAGGAATGAAGTTTGTTGTGAGATTGTCGGTTTGGCGGATATCTCCACATAGTCGTGAGGGGGAGATTTGTTGGGTTATTGGGCTCCCTTCCTATGTGGAGAATAAGTCCAAATAATGTGGACCATTATGTCTCACTAGGTTAAATGGAGATGGGTCAGATTAGTAGGACACATTAAAGTCATTTAAAGAGAGGGAAAAGCCAAGTGAGAGAAAAAGGAAGAGAGAAAGCCTTTCATGCATAAACCAAAATCTGCACTGGTGTTTTCGTCATTGTGAAGTCGTTCACCGTTGGATCGGGCTGTTTTTTGGAAAGTGGGTTCCAGACGTATGGTTCTTCATTCTGATTTGTTCGGATCGTCAATCGGAGGTCTAGTTTGGGAGAAATCAGTACCGCACCAGCAACCCTATTTTGGAGAATTTTCATCTTCTTTGCTCTCATTTGTAAGCATTTGTACTTAGTTAAATTGGCTTATTGAAAACACCATTTAGTGTTATTATTGGAGACTTTTTTGTACCCTATTATTGATCATAGTGGATTTTTTTTTGGTCTGGATAACTCGTGGTTTCTATCCTTGCATTGAGGAGTTTTCTACGTTAAAAATTGTTGTTGTTTATTTGTGCTTTGGATTCCATTTTTTGTTTTGTTTATTTAGTGCTCCTTACAAATTCTCGCAAGAAGGGGGATTCAATTTTCGCAACGTTATTATTCTTTACTAAGTTGTTATATTTTTTTTGGTGACGGCCACCTCGCCTCGCACTAAATGCTTAAAATGCAGTCATTGATGCTGATCTTATTTAAGCAGCCACCAATTTTATAATTCTAATTGACATTTCTTATGTCTGTTTTCAGTTGGAATATTGTTGTTTGTGCCACTTCTTTAAATTGTTCTGTGAAATAATCATTAAGCCGTTACTGTCCTCAGCTGTAGCCTTCGTATGTCTGATGTCTCTCGTACTATGCTTCGGTATAATTTCTCACGTTAAAACAACAACAATGGTTACAGTAGCTGTATACTGAAAAATAGCGGAAGAGAATTTTCATTTCATCGACTTTGATGGTGAAGAGCTAAAAGTCTTGTAATTGTCAAGAAACTGTCCTTGTGGAACTTGCTACTTTCATGTTGCTTTAATAGTTATTACAAATTACAATAATATAATTACTGCTACTGCTACATTTCTTCAGCTTTATGAACTGAAATTTGAGAGGATCACTCAAGAGGAGATAGGAGAACCAAAGAGAAAGGAAGACTTAGCATTTTTCCCCTCACTGTTCATTGTATTAAGAAGCAGACGAAAAACTTAGTGTTGTCTGCGATATTCTGTTAGTTAATAAGAAATTATAACTTCACTATCCATACCAAAGGGCTCAAGAGCTAAACTATTTTTTCTCTAACAGTAACCTGACGCAGCCGCAAGGTTAGCAGGGGATTCTTCTAGCTGAAAGGCGGACGGCAACAATTACCTTAACGGCATTGAAGAAAAACTTGGCGTAACAATTACTTTTATTATTTGGAAGACAACATTGGATAAGGAAAAATGAAAGAACCTTGGTATTTAGAAAACTGAAAGGTGTCAGTCCGTAACGTACTAAATAAATGTCATCTCAATTTTTCTTAAACAAAGTTATAATTTACTCCAATTGAATACAAGAATTTAGCGATTACCTCCCAGCTGCCAACAAACAATGTTATCAAGATAAAGTACACAAGACTTCCTCAAATTGACCTCTTACAAACATGGGTGGCAAGGACCCTAATTTGCTTGAGAATAGAGTCATACAGATACTAAAAGATGAAACATCACAAAGAATTAGAAAACAAATTAATGTACAATGAAATCAATGATGCTATTTAAAGGTGATTTGTCACCAGGTTCATAAGATACATTGTGATCGCTGAAACAAGTTCTTCAATTCTAGGCAAGATATCGGTACAATCTTCTGTCACTACCATCCCTCTCCAAAAAGTCCCTCTCAATGAGAGACTCAATCCGTTTCTTCACCTCTGTTGGATTTGCCAGGAAACGTGATTGCAACTGCTTCGTGACCTCGGCTATAAGATTGTTATGATCCAGTTGCTTCCTCGATTTCATGATCCTCACTATTGCTGCTTCAATCTGGGGCTTCCGGTCTTCCTCCACTCTCTGTCGGGTTTCCTGTTTCTCCGGTTCGGATTCCTTTTGTGCAACTACAGTTCCTATTTTTACCTTGTACAGTTTGCTGCTGAACTTATCATTAACAAAGAAAGCATCATCCTCAACAATTTCTTTACCCATTGGTTCCTTTCTAAGAACATTTCTTCCCTTGACTAAAGCCAATGATTGCAGGCATCTCTTAAGATCTGAAGCAGGAATCTCAGTTGCTTGCTCAATCTCCTTGTAGCTAAGTCTATCAGCATTATTGAACAGCATGAGAACACACATTTGATATGTAGAAACATTTAACTCATGTTTCTGGCCCTTCCCAAAGGTTGCTTTTAAGTCTGCTGTGCCCATATTAGTTTGCCAAGACAATCTCCTGCCAGTATGCGTACCAAGGTAATATGACCGAAACTTCTCACACAAAGCAGACATTTCTGCTGGCAGGTTGCACGTGACACTAGACTGAGTTGGCCAAGACCCTGTTGTAAGAACCTGAACAGTGAGCGTAGGGCCATCACTTAGCTCAGGGTGGCAGCCATAAAAGCCCTGCATCGTGTCCTGGGAGGTTTTCATGTCTGTAAACATTCCCTCTAGTTTAGATGTAAACTGGTAACCACACTCTGTCTTGAGCTTAACTATGAGACTCCTCTCTGCATCATCAGAGACTGTTTTTCCAGACAAAAGCCGTTTAGCCAAATGCTGTTTGTAATACTTCTCAAATACATCTTTTTCTTGGAGATATCGGAATAGCATCATCACCTTGTCAAGAGTAACTTCTACATCATCCTCACTAACCCCTTTTAGACCTTTCCGGAGTTTATCATCTACAAATAGTGAAATAAACTCTGGAGAGCGAGGATTCAAGTTGATGAAATATTCAAAAGAGGAATTCAAAGCATTCTGGAAAGACTTGTCATTGTTAAATGCCAAGTTTATAATCTTGTCATATTTATCTTTCTCATCTAAGAGCCTTTGCACATATTCAACTGGATCCTTCAATCTTTCAGGATCAGTAACAAGCTGTTTACCAGACTCTCGCATATGTGAAGTCATCACCTCTCTTACTTTTGAAAGACCATCAGTAACACGACGGAACAAGTTATACATTCTACTTAAATCTTCGTATTTATCATCACAAAGCATGTGCACTAAGCCAGAATTCTCCATGTGGATTAATCTTAGCATGTGATTTTCAATCATCTCCTTCTCCACCACATTAGTAATCTTCTTTTCTGTTCTGGAATCCAAGTAGTGGCTCACTCTTTCCATTTCCTCATTCAGACGCCTCTCAGCTTTTTTCAGATAATCGCCACAATCACAACACTCAATGAATTTTTGGGATTCCACCCGGTAAAACTCGGCTGAAACTTGGAGAAAATGAGTCTCAAACTCTTGCCCATAAACAGAAGGGCCTAAATCCATTAACATTTTTGTTATATTTCTCATAATTCCTCTATCAATAACTTCAGCAGTGCGTTCACTATGTACTAATTCCAGAAGTGTATTCAATAGCCGAGTCCTGATCTGGCTGGAATAAATGACATTTTCTTTCCACAGGTTCAGCCCAAGTTCATGAACGGGAGTCTTCTGGGTGCTTGGAATGTAAGTCCTATCCATGTACATCAGTATGTCTCTAATCATTTGTAATGCTTTATTATGATCATTCCATTTCCTGTTCAGCTCTTCCAGAAAAGATCCTCCTTGAGCAGCTTCAACAGATTGAGCAATATCTTTGAGATGTCCAGTCATTGTTGCAACCAGCCCTGAATAGAGCTTTTCACCAAATTTGTGAAGCACCATGTTGTACGCATTTCTGAATCCACACAAATAGAAGGAGAAAAATTAGAAACATATATTTTCCCTTGAGTAAAGAAAAATAAGCATAAGATCCTTTAATGTGTACATGCAGGTAATCCTAATGCATGAGACTTCCCCCTAGTGGGGTCTAGGGAGTACAAATGTACACAGCCTTACCTCCATAAGCAAAGTGGCTATTATCATGATTTGAACCAATAACCTCTAGGTCACAAGGCAACAACCTTACCGTTAGGTCAAGGTTTTCCCTCTTAATGTGTTTGTCTATAAGAAAATTTCACAAACCAAATTCATGTTTATGCCAAAAATAATTTATCCATTTGGTATTATCAAAGTAATCATGGAGAGATAGTAAAGGAAGTTTGGCTATAAACTTCAACAAGATATTATAAATTAATGAATATCAATATAGATCTCCACAACAACAGTTTCCTTGTGTGGTAGACTCAACTAGTGTTTTGAGAGGAAAAACAATAAATGAATGAAGAAATTTAGGGCCAAATACACCCAAATGTTGTTCAGTACTCTTGATCAACGAAATCAGAAATACAAGCAAAGTGAATTCAAGAGACTTAGTCTCATTGGCTCCCCAGATCCTAGCCTTACATTTCCTCCCTTACATACACTATTTTGACTGTTAAACTCCCATCAGTACTCTCTCGCCCCTAAAACTTTCACCTTCTCCTCAAGGGGGAAAAGATGGAAATGTTGTCCAGATAATGTGACACAAGTGTCTTGGACATCCCAACTCAAACGTAGTTCATGACATGCTAAAATATGATTTTCTTGAAAATAAACACACCTTCTGATCCTGGTGTGAAGCCCTTTCCACTACAGTTCATCCCACTAACAAATAGCCATCTCCACCAATAGGTAATAAGTCCCACTTCACTCAATTATCTGATCACCAGCCTAAATACTTCACTCTACGTATCTTTTGGTTGTGCCTTTCATTGATACAAGCTCATCAAAAGTTAGATGGTAGGCTTATCTTTGTCACTATCACTATCTCTCTCTTCTTTACACACTAATAGTAAGTTTATGCAAACCCCACAACAGTTCCATTTTTAAGCGGTTTGGCAAACCGCACAATAAATATCTCACTGGTACCTCAAAGTGTGGTTCAATTTTTCCAACTCCAAGCACATAGTGATGCTGATTGGGATGGCTGTCCAGGTCCAAGGAAATCTACCACTAGTTGGTGCATGTTCCGAGGAAATGCTTCTATTTCATGCAAAATTGTTACAATGGGTCTTAAATAGGTTTTATTGAAAAAGTGTTGTGTTGTACATATCTTTGTACCTTGGACTCTAGATATGTCTTTTCATTTTTACTCTTATGTTACGTACCCGAGTAGGACACATAATAAGACACGATCACAGTAGATAGAAAAGACAATGACTGAATGATAATGAACAGAATTTCTTTCATTGATGGTAATATCTGAATAAACAAAAGTAAACAATAATTGGGAGCATAACCTCCTTCAATTACTTGGGAGCATAACCTCCCTCACAGGACGCATAGCCGCCTGTTAACAAAACTCAATAATCAAAAGCCTAACCCTAACAATAGCCTCTAGCTTTATTTATACTAATTATTTCCCGCTCATCTCATAATAAATATTTCATAGAATATATCTGCATTTAATATAAATATCCCTATATTTAATATAAATATACCCCCGTATATTTCCCTGATATATATCCTTAATTATAAATATCTTATATTAAATATTTCCCAGGAATATATATTTATTTACTCTAATTAACTTATATTGGATATTCTCCTCGAATGTGACTCCCTTTTACTATAATTAGTTCCCGCCCGTCCTAATTGCTGCGACAGTTAGGATGGTAATTCTTCAACCGTTCACCTCAGGTCCTTCACTGCTTCCCACTGCTCGGCTCGAGCTCCCACCATCTTCCGTCGTTCGGCTCGACTCCCCACAACCTACCACCTTTTGGCTTGACCTTTCTCTGCTTCCCCCTTTTCGGCTTGGTCGCTCCCCGTTATCACCGTTCGGCCTGCTCGCTCCCCGTTGTCCATCTTTCGGCCTGATTGCTCCCTGCCTTCCACCGTTCGGCCAGCTCGCTCCCTGTTGTTCCCCGTCCGGCCTGATCGCTCCCCGCCTTCCACTGTTCGGCCTGGTCGTTCCCCGTCTTCCACCATTCGGTGCCCTTCTCCTTTTCTCCTATACCTTCTTCTCTCATATACCTTGTACCCTGACATCTTCCCTCTACTAATTGTATCATAAAACTATCAATATAAATATGAGAACACGAGAGTTGATTCAAGCTCTCTAAAACATACTGCATGTTTTTATTTATCTCAAGTTGGTATCAAAGTGGATCAATCTTGCTCAGCTAGTCTTAGTCTTGTCTGGCAAAGTCTACACCGTTGTCACAATTTTCTCCAACCACCACCAGATCTGAAGTGTCTCTCCAAGCAATGGCCAAATCTGCCAGTTCCGGAGGCTGAATTTGCCCCACATGCAGCTACATGCAAGTTTTTCGTTTAACACTATTAGACACATGATGGCCATGTGCTGCCTTTCCCTCAGGGGAAGAACATTGCACCTCCTCCATATTACTCGTGCTATGCCCTTTGGTTCCCCATTACTAGCTTGGTTGAAGGTCAAATATGTGATAAACTATTTGTTAAAATGGCTACTAAACTTGTCATCTCTTGCTCGGGAACTCCTACCATTACTTTTCAAAAACTGAATGGGAGAAATTATCTCTCTTGGTTTGCCTCAGCTAAACTTTGGTTCCTTTGCCAAGGTTTTCATGATCAACTTGAAAGAGATGGGAGTAATGTACCATCCGATCAAGCTAAATAGTGGAAGAAATTTGATTATCAATATTTACTTTGCCACGACAATTTGTCCAACCAAAATCATTGGATACTCTTACATTGTTCTAAATGTGCAACTTGTTTTGGAAAAAGGCTAAAAATATTTTTGCATCTTTTGTGATGAAATAAAAAATCAATTTGGTCAAGTAATTTAAAGTTTAAGAATTGACAATGTCAGAGAGTATTTTTCCTCTAATTTCTTTACGGTTTTAAGTTCACATGGCATTTTACACTAGTCTATTTGTCCTCACACATCAACAAAATGATATAATAGAAAGTAAAAATAGAAACTTGGTTGAAACTACCTATACCTTATTGCTTTGTGCCAATATATAAGGTTTCCATCATTGGGGCAATGTGGTCTTAACTACTTGTTTTCTTTTTAACATCGTTGTCTTCTTCTCTCAACAATAAGGTTCCTTATTCTATTCTATTTCCAAATGACCCTCTCTTTCATATTTCCCTAATGTGTTAGGTTGTGTATGTTTTGTTCATGATATACCTCAAGGGTCGGATAAACTCTCTACCAATGCTATTAAATGTGTCTTCTTGGGTTATTATTGGTTCATAAAGGGTATCATTGTCACTCTCCTAAAACCAAGAAGTCGTAAATGTCTATCAATGTTACCTTTTTTGAAAAGACTCCTTTCTTCCCTCCATTTGTCCAAGATGTTCATTTTGTCCAACAAGTCCTCCCTATATATGATTAGTTGAGTAATTTGTTTCTCATGCTCCTAACAGCCCAAACCCTATTCAGAATCCATGTAAATCATCATCACCTTCTCTTATTATCTACAAAATGCAGGACCCAAATGACAAATCCAATGCTTTAATGGATAGTCCTATGGACCCAAATAAAACATTAATTGCATAATAAGGTGAATCTTTCTCTGATCTAGAAAGATATAGAAGACTAATTGGGAAACTTATTTATCTTACTATTACTAGACTTAATTTCTCTTTTTCTAGTGGTGTTGTTAGTCAGTTCATGCAAGATCATTATACTGATCATTGGAATGCTACCATCTGTATCCTAAGATACCTCAAAAAAAAGCTTCTGAACAAAGTTTGCTATATGAAGATAAAGGAAATACTCAAGTCTCTAGGTGCTTAGATGTTGATTGGGCAGGATCCCCAATGAACAGATGCTCTACTAAATGATATTGTGTTTTACTTGAAGAAAATATCATTTCCTGGAAAAGCAAGAAACAAACTGCAATTGTCCAATCAAATGTCGTTCTTCAGGCAGGCAGAGCCCATAATCCCACTATATCCAGCACCTGAAATTAGTCATAAGACCTGTGGCTAAGTATCTAATTTCTGCATTTAGCCACAGAACGCCATCAGTATGGGCTAGCCTCTAAATATACCACCTTCTTCCAATTGTGCAAACCTCGTACACTTGTTTATCTGTTTTTTCATATGCTCCTGGGCCATAGCCAAAAACTATTGAGCAACTAATCCAAAAATTTTCAGTGCTTAAAGCAATGATGGAAAAGTGGGTCATATATAGCTGCTGATCCCCAACACAAGGATTCATAATTATGTAATAGCTTCATGACGCAAAATAAAAGGATGAACTACAAGAACAATTAATTCCAACACCAGTCACATATAGCTGCTGATCCTCAACACCAAAAGATTGTGCAGCAAATTGACTTTCTTGGCGATTTAATTAAGTTACCTTCAATTATATAGTTCATCATCGACTCAGTAGCCATGAAAAACCCAAAAAAATGCTAGCAAACCCAAAAAACATGATAGGATTTGTTTTCGTACTCACCCACTGGAACAATCCAAACACCTCAAATCCTACAAGTTGTTCCCCTATATCATATTTCGAACCTTATTCAGATCAAGATAAGACAACTACATAATCGATGGCGCACAGCCAAACAGATGCTTATCACGCATAAACAAGATTTGTTTTGGGGAATCGAATATTAGAAGTAATCATAAGAAAAATGAAAAAGGGGAACCTGTAAAGCTCTTCAAAACTGAGACCACTGGCGTTGTGGTTGTAAATCTCGTGAATCGCATGTTCCAGAATCTTCCATGTCTTGTCGGCGTATTTGGGATCCATCACCACGCGATGCTTAAACGCCTCTATCTGGAAATTTCTCTTCTTCTGGTTACTCATTTTCAGCTTCTAATCCCAATCTCAATACCCACAACCAAAAATCAAAGCTTTCTTCGGACCCAAATTCCAAAACCGCCCCAGATTAGAGAAAAACGCTAGATTGGTGTGATTGCCGTAAAGATTGAGGTGAAAGATTAAAACATATTTCGTTTTATATAGGAAATTTGGCGCGCTGGTAAATCATTGTGGAAATTAGAGAATTGGGTTAACATGAAATTTGATTTGAAACACTTGGAGCCGATGAATGGGTTGCGATTAATTTAGAGTAATTTCTGTTTTTTCTTGATTTCTGTTTTTTCTTGTTTGCTTTCTCAAAGGAAGAGAGGATGACGATGATACGGCTGCTTTCTGTTTTTCTTCAAGTTTGGTTTCAAGGCTACGAATCGTTTCGTTTCGAAGTTTCACGTTTCGTAGTTGAATTATTTCAGCGCCTCTTTATTATAATAATAATTGCAATGTTGATGAACAGTGCACACTATTTTATGTTTTAATTATTAGCGTATTTAGAAAAGGATTTGAGACATCTAACTCTTAACAGATGCATTTAACTTTATAAAATAAGGTGCTTCCTTTAAAAATAAATTACTAGTTGAAATAAAATATGCATGAGAATAAATGAAAAATAGGAATAAATAGTTGTTTAGTAATTTAAATTATTCTTTAACCAGAAAAACACCTGTGTGTTTATTTTTTATATAATCAAAAATAATAAAATTATTGTTATTGTTATTATTAATATTATAAAAATAAATATAAATAATTTTTAAAATTTTATTGAGATAAATTTTATTTATTTTGCAGATAAATTTTCAATTAAAAATAATTGTTAAATTTAAAAGGATGGTAAAAATAATCACTTAAAATAAAAAGAAAACTAATTAAATTGTAAAATTAGTAAAAAAATAATTTTAATTTTAAAAATATTTGTTTAAAAGCTAGAATTGAAAAATAAATATGTATAGAAAAAAGAAAAATCTTCTTAATATATAGATATAGATTAAATTTAAACATATTTTTAGATTTATTATCGGTTTAAAGCCCGGGTGAATGTATTCCTTCCAATTGTTCTTTCCATTAGGAAAGCCTATGTAGCAAGCAACTCAATGGCAACTTTAGGTAACCTTCCAAAATGCATAACTTACTGGTTTCAGAAATTTTCGTTAATATTATATTTCTATTTTTCTATGTACATTATTTATCTATATTTTTTCTATCATTAATCCAATCCTTGAAAAATAATAAATACGTATTAAAAAGCAAAAATATAAAAAAGAATAAATCATTTGCAAGTTTTATGAGCAAGTAACCAAATCCTTATACATTACAGAAAACTTCTATATTTAAATTGGTTCGCTTGAAATAATTTCACTGTTGTCAAATTTATACAAGCACGAATCACAACTTACTTTATAATCAAAATGCTAGAGATTGGGGTCCATAAAAAAAAAAAAGAAAATCGAGATATCTCACTTGAACTTGGAAAATAAACACAAGGGAAAATATTAAAGACTTCAATCACTTATGTTTTCGTTCTTATACACCAAAAGTGATTTAATGGTCAATTTTATTTCTTTAATGACTTCAAGAATAACATCTAACTAGTAATAGAGAACTACACTCTACAGCAGAAACAAGGGTTTGCATGACTTTTTCTATGTAATCACTTGATCATTTATAGTGTTTCTTTCTAGCCAGCTTTGGTCTCTTCTGATACCTGAAAAGGCAAAAAAGAAACGAACCACCATTTAGTTGCTAATAACTTATCTATGACATTGCATGCACAACATCAAAGTGTAATACAAAGTTTTATGGTCATAATTGTTGTTGCATTGTAAATAAAGTCTTTATAACTAGTTTATATGTTTAAACATATTTTAGTTTAGAAGACATGCAAATTTTGATATTACTCCTAAATGAGCTGGGAGGCAACTTTCAAATATGTTTTAAGGATGTCTTTTTCTCCTCTTGCAATTTTTTTAAACTACCGAAGGATCATATATAATCTAATCCATTTAATTACGTTGTAGAAACAACACCAAATGTAACATAAACTTCAATATAATCGGTTTAATTCGTACATTAAATGTTTTTTTAACATGAAATAGCTTGCAACTCTCATTAGAGGAAAGAATAACAATCATTTTATGCTTTAAGAGTGTAACTAAATACTTTTAATATTGTAGCAAATGGGCAGTTTTCCTCTTGAAATAACATGGATATGGGCAGTTAACTCATGGATTTTCTATGTTCTTGAAATAACATGGATATGGGCAGTTTTCCTCTTGCATAGAGGTCACTTTCATAAAAAAAAGGATATTTTATAAAATAAAAAGGAAAGGATTACATCATTAAGAAGCCAGAAAAAGAAATGTAAGGTTAAGATAATTCAAAGACAAGTGTAATTAGAGAAAAAAAATTGAATCAGTGAAAGAAAGATGGTTTCTTGAGATGGGAACGAAACTTTTTAACTTCTATAGTCCAGGGTGGTTCTATGTTTGATCAAGATATTTTGGTGCTTGCAATAGGTAAGAAGCCGGAAACTCTGAAGCTTAGATTGTAGACTTTGTTTGAACTATCCATGTTCCCAAATCGAAATTAATTTAGTACATATGAAGAAAGAGCTACCGATAATATTTTGATGGGCAATGATAATCCTTACAAATGGGCATTGGGTCTATCAAAATACACATGGAAATAATGTAGTGAGAACATTGTCTCATATTCATCATATACCAAACTGAAGGAGAACTTGATTTCAGTGGCTAAACTAGATACACTACATGCTCGAGAGTTTCACTTGGAGTGTCAAACGTGGTGTGATGCGAGTAGAAGAAAAGAGAAGTTATATGGTAACGTTGAAGGACAAGATAGATCATTTTCCACTCTGATAGACTCCACATAATTAGGATGAAAGTGTGTGTAAGTGTGGTTTAATTGTAACCAACCAATGGGGTTATATAGTTTTGTGAGGATTGCATTTAAAACATGTAGCATAATTATGAAAGTAATGTATAATACATGTTGAACTATGTTCGATATGTTGGGTTTATCAAGATGAGGCTTTTTTGGGCAAACACCAATGAGATATGAGTCCAACCATATAAGGGATTAACATCACTTTCTATCCAAAACCTTAAGACAATGGGTTAATGAGTTTTTCACTTTTATATAGTGCTCAACTTTCTCATTTCTATCCAATGTGGGACTTGGACTCACACTTGAATTCCCAATAATCTCCCTCTCAAGGGTGAGTCCCTTCCACATTGGTACAATCCCCCTCCAGTAAAAGCATTCCCAACCAACCACAACCACGAGTAGTCCTTCGTACCGTCGTTCTGAAACCCTTTTTTAAGAAGACTTTCGATATAGGGACCATTATACTCATTTGAGTCAATCACCAAGACAAACCATCAACTCTAATACTACCGTTGGGTGTATCGAGGAGGAAGTTCACCAAGGAGACACAAACACCATTGAGATTTAAGCCCAACCATATAAGGGATTAACACCATTCTCTACCCAAAATCTTAAGACAATGGGTTAATGGGTCTTTCAGCTTTATATAATGCTCTACTTTTTCATTTTTATCCAATGTGGGACTTGCACTCACACTTGGATTCCTAACATGATAAAACACTATCTAAATACAAAAAGAATTTGAGCATAAATTCTCTTTAAGAAGGAAGGTATCGTAGAAATGTATTTCTTGATCTTATACAAGAAAAACTTGAGGAAGACCCATTGCAATTCAAATGACCTATGACAAAGAGCAAACACTTCGAAGAACAATCCTCCTTGAAGTTCATCATACTCCATGAAGATTGAAATTTAAAGGACACGAAAATCATGACTTGGAGCACAATTGTAGAATAATTTTATGCAATTAAAATTATTTGTAATTTTTTAAAAATTTTAACACTTTGTAACTATCGTTGGACAAGTGAATTTGTTAGGTGATGAGTTTTAGTCTATTTTTGAATTTTCAAGTTATTTTTGGACTTAATGTCTTTCGATTTTCTTTTAGGGTTTCTTAGATAGCTTAAACATTTGTGCCTAAATATAGGGCACCAAATACATTTGTAGACACCTTGAATGATCATTATATGAAAATTGGTTTTTCATTGAGAGATGATTCTCTTAGCTCTTGGATTAGAACTCTGATTCTTATCAAAGATAGATTTCTTTGTGGTGAATTTTTCTTGACTTATCAATCTAATACATAGTAGCATCTTCAACTCTGATTCTTATCAAAGATGACTATTTTTGTGGCGAATTTTTATTGACTTATCAATATGCTAGAATGTGAGATCTTCATCTTTGTATTATTTCGCGTTTTTATCTGATTTATTTTTTGTTTGTGTCTCATGAGATTTAAACTCAGAATGATTATGCTCTTTCTTGGATATGATCGTATCATTTTACGTTAGAGCGTATCATCTTATATCTTGATTGTATCAATGCTCATTCTGATTGTTGGGTCCTTTGAGATTTCCTTCATTAGAAGACACAAGGTACTTTCTCTCTATTGATGATTATTCAAGGATGACTTTGACATTAATGAAGAAGGAATTTGAAGCTTTCAGTAATTCCAATCATTTGTATGCTCTTATTTTTAACCATGACAATGGGGCTAGATATCCAAGAACAAACAATAGGTTAGACTTTTACTTTAAAGAGTTTAATAAATTTGGTAAAGATAAAATTGTTGTAAGGCCATATTTTGTTCTTCATACTCCATAGTAGAATGGGAACTCTGAAAATGTGAACGTAACCTTATTTGAGAGAGTAAGGCTATGTTATCTTGGTCTAAGTTAAATAGTAGTTATTGGACTAAAGTGGTTTGCACAACATGATTCCTAGCCATTCTTCATCCATAACTAATGGATTCAAGACTCCATTTGAGGTGTTGCCTTATAAGTGAAAATGTTAATTCTTACGATTATCTAAGCCTAATTTCTATGACAAAATCAGCTCCTCTATAACTTATAACTTGCTTAAATCCGCACTTTTATCTTGTTTTTGTGTATATTTATGTTTTGGGCTACACTAAGTAAATAATACTAGAATCCCTTTTTTTTCAATTTTATGTTAGGAAGAACCTCTACCAAACCGAAGAGCTTGGAAACCCAAAGAAGCAAGAAGAAATATAAAAAAGGGAGATCTTTAAGTCTAGGGGCATTGGGCGTCACCTCCTTGTCGTTGGGAGAACTCACTTCACAGAGTAACTCTAGTGATTTTGAAGATCTTCACTAGGCGATAGGCATTGTGCAATAGGTGACGAGATGCTGTCATGGCATGTTTTGCCCTATTTCTTCTGGTTTCAGAGGGGAGAAGGGTCTTTGGTGGTTTGGAGCCATGATTACACTATTAAGAGCACTAGGAGGGGTGTTAGGGCTTGTGGGAACACTC